GCTGGAGGCGCTTTCGAATGCCATCATCTCGCTGAATGAGAGGCAGCCCGGGCACGCCGACTGCGAGTTCTACGATGCGTTCACAGAGAGGTCGGGCAACGTGCAGGAGAAGATTGGGGCGGTTATGGTCAGGATCCGGGAGAGGGAGGAGAGACGGGAGGAGCGGCGGGGACGGAGAAGGAGTTGATGGTCTGCTCGGGAGCAAACTACGTGGGATGTGTTTTGATACGAGATTTGCTTTTACGTGCATAGGGGCGGGAATACCCACTGGTTTCTACAAGCATGGAGTTTGCAGACGAGGGGACGGAGACCCCGGGTTTCGGAACGTAGCGGCTGGCAGATACCCGTGATGTTTGTAGGATAGGATAGATAGTCTTTCCCCCCATTCCCGTTCGTGTTTGGGGGGAGTAGAGTCAGCAATGACTATTTGCATCACATGAAGAGAGGTGACTGGATACCAGGAGGCGGATGTGTGACGTTACGCTGCGGGCTCCGGTGGTTTGGAACCGGCTTTCCGTCTGCTGAGTTTGTGCATGTGCATGAAACGAACTTCGGATCTTAGGAATTGGCGCATGTTGATTGTTGATTGTTGGCGCTTCAGGTCTGATACCGGCATCAGGTTCACAGTTGCGTTTCGGTATGTCATTAGCAGGCTGTGATGGTGTGAAGACTTAAGACTCATAATGCGCCATGCCAGGATCTTTGAGTTGCAGGGCAGAATTTCGATGTTGGCGACTTGAACGAGAAGCAAGAAGCCCGATATTTGGTTACATGATGAGAATGAATATCACCAGGCTTTCCTACGCTCAAAGTTGCCCGTATCGTCATGGCCCCTATCTCTCTTCAACATATCGACACGGCCACTACACTACACAGACTCTCTCGCCGCGACGCAGAAGGTGGACGAGTAGCAGGCTGGCTTGTCGGCTGTCTCCTGGCAGCCGTGCTCGCGTGCGCCATCATATACTATTGCTTCAACTGCCACTTCTCACCCAAAAAGAAGACCAAAAAAAGAGACCACGAACATCACCACAAATCACATAAACGCCCGATGATGCATCACGCACACCCCACGACACGGGGACATACTCATGGACATATTGCCTTCGCACATCGCGACGAAATCCCACATACTCACAGGTGGACACATCATCACCACAGACGAGTTCACCACCACCATCAAAAACGCCCAAAGAAGAAGGCCAAGGCCAAGAAGAAGGCAAAATCAAAGAAGAGGGCCAGCAAGAATGGCCGTGGCAAGTCTCGCGGTGTTGAGGTGAGATTCATGCCGATGCCGCCGATGGAGATGCCCATGGGGGTTGGCATGCCGATGGCACCGGCACCGGTAGCCGGTATGGGCATGGGAATGGGGCTAGGTGGTGTTGGCATCGGGGTCGGTATGGGGGTGATGGGTGACGATTTCGTCGATTATGGGCCGCCGCCTGGGGACATGGACCCAGGGACAGAGATCGGCTGGGGCGTTGATCCCATGTTCCCGCTGCAGCGATTTATGGATGAAAATTATTCTGATGCTGATGACGACATGGAAGTGGGCTGCAACGAATGCTGTTTTTCGTTCTTTGATGCTCTTTGCGGCGTTGAGCCCGGGAGCCGGGATCTGAGGAGGGAGGCAGCTGGCGATGGGCCAATACCCCTGGATGACAATGAGATGGCGGCCGATTGATGCAACAGTTCCGAGGCAGATTGGACATTCCGATTCACCGGGCTAAGAATAGATCTGGACTGTTCATAATGGGAGCTCGTGGTTTGGGCTGTGAAGATGTTTGCTTGAATAAGGGATGGAGGAACCGTGTTTCGAAGATGAAAGGCTGCAATCAATTGGCAAAGAAAGCGATGGGAAAACGTAGCAATCGACTGTACATGGCTATTTTCATCCGGCGCCTGGTATCGCCGTTCATATATGCCGTGAAACTCCCGCTCAAAGCAAACTCCTGACCCAAACAACGACCTAACTTACATCATGTCAGTGTACACAAGCATCAGAAAGACCTGTAACCAGATTAGCACAATGGACGGTTTCGTAGGTAGGTTGCAAACCAACATATTGATTGTCCTGCACTCGACGCCACGCTTCACGAAACATCAAAGATGGCCATATCACTCTTTATCCGCAGGTGCAGCAGCAGGTGGAGGGGGTGCCGGAGGATCGGCCGGGGGGTCGGCCGGAGGGTCGGCAGGGGCTGCGGAAGGTGGAGCTGACGGCGGCGGAGGCGGGCCCGGAGGCGGTGGACCGCTCGTAGAGGAGCTCTTGGAGCTTCTATTGGAGCTTCTATTGGAGCTTCTGTAACTGACGGTCTTGTGATAGATATGACGGCGCTGTCGGCGTCGGCGACGACTGATGCGGTTGAGGGATTGTCGGTAAAAGTAGAGGAAGGCGATCGAGCCGAGGATGAAGATTAGAATGGCAACCCCGACTGTAACACCGACTGTGATATTGGTAGTCTTGTTCCCTGCAATTCCGACCTGTCTCTTTGTAAGAGGGGCCGAAAGACCAGGGGCCACGACTTTTGTCCAACGTACAACCGGTGGCGAACGCCTCTCAGCCTCAGACCCGGAGGCTCGGGGGAGTGGAAGTGGGATGTACATCTAGGGCGGCGAGGGGGGTGGCGTGCTTTTGGCAGCGAGGTGAATATGAATGGACTAGAATACAACAGGATAATTACCAAGTTACAACGTATAGACACCACGAATGTAGAAAAGAAACATTTTGAAACATGCTGGGTAAAATAAAACAAACAAAGACGGCTGCACGATGCCTCGTTGAGGAGCGAGAAGCATATTTAACCTTGGGTTTGCCTCCAGGAAGAGCGGCACGGGCACATGGATGGGCGCCGGACGTGCCCATTGGGATCTCGCGTGAGTTGATGAGCATTCCGTGATGCTTCTGAGAGGTTGGAAACGGGGAGGAGACATGCAAGAGTGGCACTGCGCAGCGAATGCGGAGGTGGAGGGAGTGTAAGAGTGTATATCCGCGTCCAAACAAGAACAAGATGCAGCTGGCCAAAGGCAGGCTGGCCACGATTATGCGTGCCGCATGCAGTCGCCAAACCAATGGATTCATTGCAGGCGCGACCATGGTTCCCTCATGCAGCTTTTCCCGCACTCGTCGTCCCGTCCACAGCCCAAGCTGGGGGTGTTCCTGCTGGTGGTGTCGTGGGGGAGTTGAGGGCTGCCAGTCGCGTCAGGTGAGGCTATCGAGCTGCAATGGACTGATGCCTTGGGGTTGACTGCAGCAGTTGCACTGGCAAGTCTGCCGGATCGCCTCCTTCGTGTAGACCCAGTAGTCGCCAATTTAAATCCGGAGGCGACGATGAGAATGAGAACTGAGGAAATGACGGGAGTGCTCGCCACGAATGCTTGAATCGTGAAGCCGCCGTTGGGCATCAAGACGATCGAAGGGTCAATGGGCCGCCATCGTCGCGGTAAGCGTGGGATCGGTCATGGAGTTCCGAAGTAGACGGGTCTAGTTGAAGCTTCTTTGATGGAGCAGTGGAGTATCCCGTCTTCTTCCATGGCTTCGGAAGCGATGCTGAACGATGTTGACAAGGGGCAGAGGTGATGGAAAGTCATGGATGGCGCATTAGGAGGAGAAGGGGTCAAGTTGGCGATGCAGTTTAAGGTACGTTGGCGTGCTGTCTTACCGGGGCATAGGGCGCCTGACTAAGCTCCCGTAGCGCTGTATCCGTCAACAGTTAGCTGTGTGGGCTGTTGTTCTTCCCTTCTGTTCTCTCCAACATCACCTTCCTCCTGCATGGCTTCCACCACCGCTCTTGATTGAAAGCATGACCGGCAAGCACCGGCTCCCTTCCGCATGTTCGATGCTGACATTACCGGATCGAGACAGCTGCACCTCACCAACCTCAATGGCTTGGAACCCAACGGCCCTTCTCCATCAATTGATTAAGGTCCCTTTGCCGAGAAGACAGGGCGACTGTGCAGCTGTGCTACCAGCCACTCGGCCTACACCACGACATGCCGCCTGCAGCTGCACCCTGCATTCTCTCGCCTCCAAACCTATTGGGCACCAACATTGCCTGGGGAAAGAAGACAATTCATCTTACAGTATCTGTCTTATCACACTGGAAGCTGCACTCGGCAAGTGCCATGTGTTGCCCATGTACAATGACTTGCAGCAAGGGCTGTTGTCAGGTTGTAGGTGCCGTCGGAGACGTACCGAGACAATGAGCTCCTATTTTCGTCGCGGCTGCGATTCTCCTTCAACTTGCAATCTGAACCGGGCTAGCATATATTCCTCTACGTGTATGTCCCTCTCGACGATGAATTTTGGGACAAAGATGCAATGCTTCTATCAACAACAGGCAATGCTGTATCAGAGGCCCTCGCTATTGTGGAAGAAAGGCAATAAAGACTGCGAGTTACCCAATTCCTCCATTACCCTGAAGAACCCAAAGACAATGGCTCGTATCACCTCTTCAGGCCTGCTCTGGGGACTTTCGAATGCCTCCCTTACAAGTCGTAGACACTGGTGGTTTGCGGTCGTGGCGATGAAATCAGAATACTCGAGGTGAAAAGGGTCCTTGCGGGCCATTCTTAAAGGCGACATGCTCTTGCTGTGTTTTTTTTTATTTCGTTTTCCTCTTTTGACCATTCTCGACAGCACAGTTCCACTAGTCTTCTTTCTTCCTCGACTACTGACTGCTGCGACAATGTGTATCTTCTTGAGCAGACGCTTTTCCTGCCAGGCCAACGGCGCCGTTGACACACACACTCATCAATACCTCGTCCGCTGCGCGAATCCCCTCTACGAACTCTGCATCAAACCAGATGTTCTCCCCGTGTGTGACGAGAAATACTCCTTCCCCTGCCATAACTGTACCGGGAAATTCGTGGAGCCCGTCACGAAGCCATTGTCACGCAGATGGCAAGGCCCTTTATCAGGAGCGCCGACGGGTGTCAACCCGCGAAGTGCACGGGAAGAGGAGGCCACCATGTCTTACGCACAAGCGTTGTGCGACATCATGATAACATCAACAGTCCCAAGATGGCCTATTATCCCCGCCGATGAGGACCATCTCCAACTTTACCGCACGTCGAAGATGGAAATGGCTTGCCGCTTCAGCAAGGATCATTTCGACAAGGGTGGCCTATGCGATTGCAACAGGACCAACATGGAGCCGGAGCTACACAATATTGCCGTAGCAATGCGACAGACTGTTGCTCGAACCTATCTTTACCCCAGAGAAGGCACATATCCTACTCCAGTGCTCGTTGGAGATAAAATAGTCTACGTCAACGAACAAAAGAAGGAATACGCGTGGGACGATCCGGTGAACGCAGGCCACACTTTACGCGATGAAGCAATGGCGAAGATGGCAGGGCAGCCTGACTTGAGCCAGCTTAATCACCTGAAGCGGCCGACGTCGGTCGGTGAAATCCAGGTCATCCCCTTTTTTATGGACATTTGGGACAACGACAAAGCGCACATAATAATGAGCCAAAGCATGGAACATGATTGGAACATGAAAGAAGGCGGCATCGAAGCATGGTACGAAAAGTTTCTCGGCCACTACGGGAACGAATATGACTCTGTCAAGGAGATCGAGTTGAATTTCCGTATGCGTCTCATCAACACAGCAAAGAACTTGGTAATCAACGACTGTGGCCTTACGTTCCTGCGCATGTTTCAAGTCATGCGCATATTCAAGAACATCTTATTCTTCGAAATGGAGGATTGGGGCAAAGATCCTCAGCTCACGCCGGCCTGCGCGAACAAGCTTGCTGAACTCTGCAGGCAAGGCGCACGCCCGATGTCCGAAAGGAAACTACTTTTCGGCGAACCTGTGGGATTTGGCGGTGATGCCTGGTTCGACCAGCTGCGGATGCTAGGGATGCATCATTATTTCCACCGAAACCGCTCGCTTCATCGGGAAGACGAGTTTGCGAGCGCGGCGGCGATACAAAATACTGTGATACCTTTGTCAGAGGAGGAAATCGCTGCGCTTTCAGATGAGGACAGGGAGTGTGCTATCTGTGAAGAGGAGATGGGATGGCCTTTGGAAGGCCATGCGGCGATGCGAATCAAATGCCCTTCTAGGCACCGGGTTGGCATGAACTGTTGGATGAAAACTTGTCGACTGAAACGGCTTTCAGAGAGAGGCCGAGACATAAATTGCCACTCCTGTGCTGACTTCAAGGTGGGGGAGTGGCATGCGGTCGAACCACGAGATCGGGTTTTCGCCGTAGATGTCAGAGATGGTTATTTTGACGAGAAGGCTCAGCTGGAGTGGGCGATGTACCGCACCGTCTACCGAGATGAAGTCATGGAGCCCCAGGCCATTATCTTTGACTCATATACTTTAGGCTGGGGTGGATATCCTACTCGTAAAGATCATCGAGATGTCTCTGATGAGTCGTATTGTACGGCTGTTGAGGCGGCTCACCTTCACGGCGATGCTTGGCGGCAAAGCATGCGTCCATGGAATCCAGCACCGGAAGGAGTTTAGGACATAGAGTGATTATGGTATACTAAAGGAATTAGATATCTTATGTGATCAGAAGCAGGTTTTAACAACAAATAGAACTTGGAAAATGTGATGCGGCAGTCTAAGAGCCCGCCGGAGTTCAGTTCAGACCAATAGAATAAGATTACACGGACGGCCTCTGGCCACTTACTGTGATTTTTACTTGGAACCTATACTGTAACGACCTCCAACTTACCCTTTCAGCTAACAGCCTACTGGTCACATGATTATCGCCCTTCAGTCCTATTTCCCCCTACATACGCAGCAATATACGCTATTATAATCTCATTACTTTTAATATTACTTTAATAACAACTTCATAACTTTAACTTAGTTTAATTACTATAGAAGTAAACTTTCTTTAACTTTTTAACCTTTCTTCTAACTCTTATATATACCTTCTATCGTCAGACTTAGCTATCTTCTTTATAGCTTATACTACACCCTCTAAAGCTAATATCTATTATAACGTTTTCAGAGGCTATTATACTATTACCACAGTCCAAGCTTTTTATTAACTAGGCTAATATCCTCATAGTTCTATAGTTATTAGTAATATCCTTAATTTAAGCTTAGTTAACTTATTAGCTATATAGCCCTACTAAAGATATTATTAAAATATATATAATAGCTAGGATTAATAATAAATATAGCTACCTCTTCTAGTAAGATTTACTATAGTAAATAGGTATAAGCTATAGCTATAATATTAGCTTTTAGGACTATAAAATAGGATATAGCTATAGTTATCCTATCTACTAAGCTTTATATATTAAAAGGTATTATTTTATTAATTATAGTAAAGCTAGCTTTATAGTTAGTATTAATTCTAATATCTTAAGGTATACTTTAAGTAAAGCTCTATAATATAAAGCTCTATAGATTAAGTAGGATAGAATATATTATAAAGGAATCTAAGTAATTTACTTATAAGTTATAGGAATCTAAGTAGTTTATATAATAAGGAATAAGCTTATAGCTTAGCGTAAGTAGTATCTTAAGTATATAGCTAAGATAAGCTTTTATATAGCTAACTTTATAAAGCTATCTCTATAAGTTATATAGGTAAGGCTATTAACCTTACTAGTAATAAAGCTATCGTTAATATAATACTAAGAGCTATAATAAGCAGCTATAGTTAGGTTCAGTACAGGTAGTTATTCCAGGCCCCTAGGTACATACTACGATCTTCTTACTGGACGAAGCACTAGCCGAAGTGCTCTTACTAGATTTATCTACTGTGAACCCTCTTATAGGGTAGGCTATGAAACTTCCTCAACATAAGATTACACGGACAGTTGAAACCTGGATAAAACTTCAGATAACCAGAAGTATACTTATATAAAAGCATAACATAACAGGTGAGGGTTACCACTCTTGAGGTGGTTATGGAAAGTATAAAGAATAAAACTATTTTATACGTTGAGTCATGCCGCGTACTTTGCGAAGAAAGGCTCAGCCCTCCTCTGCTCCTCCTCAATCACCGCAGCATGCCTCTCGGACCTCGGCCGGATCGTGATCGGAAACTTCTTGGGCGCGATCAGAAACCCGTCCGTGTACGCCGTGCCGACGTCGACGTCCACCTCCCCCTCCCCGGGCGAGAGATCGAACCCCCACGCGATCTTGGCCATGTTCAATATCTATCGGTAGAAGTCAGTCACAACAGCTCTCGGAATTACGACTCAGGGCTTAGTGCCACTCACCAGCGAGTTCCTCGCCAGCCGCTGCCCCGGACACACCCGCCTGCCCGCGCCGAACCCATACAGCACGCGCCGGTGGTCGTCGGCGCTCTCGTCGACGGGGTCGCGCGTCCCGTACTTCTCCCTCACGAAGCGGTCCGGCGCGAACTCGGCCGGGTTCTCGTACTCGTCCTCGTCGTAGTGGATCGCCCACGTGTTGGCGACCAGGACGGTGCCCTTGGGTAGGTGGTAGCCCTGGTACGTGTCGTCCTGCGTGAGCATGTGCGGGACGCCGCCGGCTGCTACAGGGCGCCAGCGGAGGGTCTGGAGGTTCTGCGTTAGGTGAAGCTTTTGGGGGGGAAAAGGGGGAAGGGGAGGGTGTCACCTCGTTCATACACGCCTCGATGAAGGGTAAACGGCCGATATCTTCTGACGTCGGGGACCGCAGGGGGCCGCAGACCCGATCGACTTCTTCCTGTGCTTTACGGAACTCCTTCGGGTACTTGATCATCGCGAGGAGGAAGGATAGTAACGTAGAAGCCGTGGTATCCGAGCCGGCTTCCATCTGCAAACTATCAGCAACACGCACGACATTAGCTTCCCAGTCGATACACACCAGGTTCCCGGCCAGGTACGCCAAATGCTCGTCATCCAACCCATTCTTCTCCTGATCCCTCAGCATCTCCCCCAAAAAGCAATCCGGGCTCCTCCCCTCCCGGATCCTCTCCCTCGTCCCCGCCACCAGCGAGAGATACAACCCCATCTGCTCTCTCCTCACCCTCGCGGCCCGTCTCTTCCACCCCGCCAGCGCCGCGGGCACCATCTTCAAGAAGGGGAACGCGTCCACCGGCGGCGTGGCCCCCTGCTCGAGCACGGCGGTGAACTCGTCCTGCGCGGCGTACAGCGCGCGCACGTTGGGCGAGTCGAAGCGGGCGCCGCGCACGCCGTACACGGCGGCGAGGACGACGGCGGTGGTGTACCGCCGCACGTGGTCGTAGTAGCCCGCCGGGTCGCGGAGGAGGTCGGAGAGGGTCTGCGTGGCCTCGGCGTCCTGGACGGGGAGGACGGCGTCGACGCGGTTGACGGCGAGGAGGGACTGGACTACGCGGCGCTGGACGCGCCAGGCGGGGCCGTAGGGGAGGAGGAGGAGGTGGATGTCACCCGGGCAGACGAGGGTGTTAGCGACGTAGGTGCGGGGGCGGGAGGAGTAGATTGAGCCGCGCTTGTCGAAGAGTCTTTTGGGTTTTGGGTGTTAGGTATGTTGAAGGGGAGGGGGAGGGAGGTTGCCTTACTCTCGTACGTGTTTGTAGTTGTTTAGGATTACGAAGTTTTGGGAGCCTAGTTTGAGGCCGATGATGGAGCCGAAGGTGGCCCCGAGGTCGTGGAATCTTGGGGTTTCGCTGTTAGTATGGGGATGAAACAGATGCATTCTGAGGGTACGCACTTTAGGAAGCCCTTTGATTTCGGTACTTGGGTGATGTTTCCCAGGAAGGGGACTGTCCGAGGGCCTGGCGGGAAGTTCCTGGGCCGGCAGCTCGCGAGGAAGAACCTCGAGAGTGTGGAGACGGCGAGCACGACGAGGACGCAGAGACCAACGGTCCCTCGCGAGAGGTCCAGCATGCCGGTTGTGCTCATCTCGACAACATCTCTCACTCGATGCCACGACGGAGAGATGCGAGTGAGAACGCATCGCGGGGGGATGTTTTGATACCGGTGAATATCTGCTGGCTTACCGGCGGGTCAGAACACTACGACGCCCAGAGGTATCAACCTTCTCTTCACGCCATCCGTACGGTTATCTCGGCCTCGGGGCCCCATGCCGTGCCCGTAACCATCGGAGGTTGCTGGTGTGGTGGTGTGGGTGGGTTGGCCGGGGTGGTCTCGGAGGGTCTGCAAGAGACATGGATCGTGCAGCCGAAGGGCCGTCTCCGTCTCACTGCATGGCTAGATTGCCACTCGCGACCTCGCCGATTGAGCTTAGCCATCGGCGTTCGTGTAACCTGTCATGCTCCGCCCGCTGCTATGATCGGTCTGGAAGGATTGTGAATACGGAAGCCTAGAATGGCCTCATCCTGTACTGCATCTGCCGAGTCGGTCTAACACGCCGACAGGGTATCGGAACGAGGAACACGATGATGTCAACACTTTGATCCCATCACATTGGATAGCTTCTCTGTGTGTCTAATTCGCGGACGCGGGTCTTCACGGCGTCCTCAGCGCAGCCTTCTCCGCCGCCAACTCCTCCACGTTTCCCACAACCACGTCCATGGGGTCAAACCCGGCCCCCTCCCTCTGCAGTTCCGTCGCCCTGGCCTTGTACCTCCCATCCTCGAGCACCTCCCCCACTGCCCGCCGGAGCTGCTCGACCGACGGATCCCCCGTCCTCAGGTCCACCCCGACCCCGGCCCACGCCGCCCTCGCCGCCGTCTCCGGCTTCTCCTCCGTCGCGGCGGCCACCACCAACGGCGTCCCGTTCCGAACCGCCCGCTGGAACGCCCCGTACCCGCCCGTCGTGACGAAGACGCCGCAGTGGGGGAGCACCTCGTCGTACGGCACGTAATCCGTCACCCTGCAGTTGGGCGGCACCTCCAGGCCAGGCGGCAGGCTCGCGCCCTTGCGCCCCACGGCGACCACGACGAGGACGTCCTCGCGGCCCGCGAGGGCGGCCATCGTGGGGACGACGAGCTGCGTGAGGTCCATTGCCACGGTGCCCTGGCAGACGAAGACGAGCTTGCGGGCGGCAGCCTTCGCGGCGACGACCTCGGGCCACCAGGCCGGGCGCGGGTGGAAGGGGTCCTTGGGACCGTTGGGGTAGCCGCCGGAGAAGCGGAGGCCCGGGGGTGCGTCGGAACGGGGGTACTCGACGCTGGGTACGCACATTTGCACGAAGCGGTCCGGGAGGTGGTAGAGGGCGTCGAGGAGGAAGGTTTCCGGTTCTCGCGCCGCGCCCAGCTTCGCGAGGGCCTCCGCGTAGGAGGACTGGGCTGCGGCGAAGGTTTCCCTTTGAGCTGCGTTGGCGGCGGCGTGCTGAGCTCGGCCGGCCGGGGAGGCATCTGGGGGCAAGCCGGAACCGAAGGGCGGGTGGTCGATGCTGGAGAGCATCATGGGGTTGAGGCCGATGACTATGTATCCCGTGGGACGGAGGCCCGGAGCGCCGTGGAGGATGGGCATGGCTGCGAAGTTGAGGCTCTCTGTGAGGAGGATGGTGGGCCGTCCCGGGTGCTTCGAGGCGAGCGTTCCCAGGGCGGTTTGGAGGGCGTGGTGCTGCGAGGGGATAGATCTGCAGAATATGTGTACCAGGTCATGGATGAAGCAATCCGTGCCTTCCAAGTGCTTCTTGCCCTCGGGCCCTGCGGATGGGTGTGATCAGCGTTTGCTCCGTGGTGAGTTTGGAGGGGGGAAATTCGGTTTGGAGTGATTAGATACATGGAATATCGACACCATTTACACCGCCATATGACAAAACGGAAGCACTTACAGGACGGGTCCAGATCCCACGAAGTCAGGTCATAAAAGTTGCCGTACCCTTCGACCGATACGAACGACGCGCCGGCGGCCTCTACGCGTGGACGGTAGCCCGAGCCGGTCACGAAGCAGACGTCGTAGCCCCGCGAGACGAGCTGCTCCGCTATCGTCAGCATCGGTATGATGTGGCCCGAGACCGGCGTGCTGCAGATGAGCACCAAGGGCTTGAGGGGCTCCAACGTGGTGCGAGAAGGTGACATGGCGGGCTGTAGGGGAGCGTATGAATCGGGCGCAAGAAGATGAGCGTCAAGTGTGAGAGGGGGGAACTGAAGGGTCCATGGGAAAGCCGGCATCATAAGGTATAAATGGACTTCCGATAAGCACTAGCTATATCAAGGTACATACCCGACCCATCTTGCATACTGTTATTGACGGAAAATTGAGCTTGGTAGGTCTGCCCCGGATGGAACATGGGCTTGATGAGTTATCCTGTTTCCTCTCCACACCACGATCTATCTCGTCTGGTAGTGGTAAGGCATCTCAAGATCAAGTCTGAAATGGCTCAATTTATAGTAGCCAGACTTTCGCATCAAAATCATTCGTCAAAGATGGCAGAACATACCTCACAACAGTCGCCATTTCACTCGCTTGGCCTGGTTTTCACCGTCCAATCTCATCTTTACCAATCCAAACGAGGGACCAAGAGCTTCCTCCGCTGCCAACCTCATTCGAATCTTACATTACACATTCAAATCATACTACCGAACGTAGCTGACCTGCCAAATGAGTGAAGATACCCGAGCCAACTGATGCTCTCCGTTCAACTGACCACTCCTACTCATAATCCAACTCTACTGAACCCCCTGAAGAATGCCGCGCACAATTCTTGCGGCACATCTAAGCTCCTTAACAAATGCCCGAGTCCGCTCCTGCGAGCCGCCTGTCAAGGAAAAGCGAATTCTACAGCAATGACGAGTTAGAACATCCCATGCAGCGTGGACTGGGGTTGCTTACCTGTCCTTCTCCGGGACCAAGATTGACCAAAACCCGTCAGTATCCGCCATGAGGTGCACAAAGTCTTGGAACATGATGTCTCCCTCCAAGCCGTTGCTCTGGGCAAAGACGGGCGGGTGAGGCCTGCCGAAGAAGACGTGCTCACCCAAAAAGCGTGGCTTGGGCGTGCTGCTGGCCTCGGCGGGCCAGAGGTAGCTTAGGACCTCGAAGAGGCGCAAGTAACTCCGGCCGTTCAGCATGGTTTGCATGTCGACGTTCATCTTCTTCGTCGCGGCCGACAACAGGGCGGCTAGTCTCCCCGCCTGCTCGGACTCCTCTCGGTGCCGGTACGCCTGTGTGGCCGCATCGCAGAAGGCAACGACGGCCGGGACCGCTCTCTGAACAGCATCGGATCGGCCGGTGTGGAAGTGCGCGGCGCTGGTGGGTTCCCAGGACGGCACGTTGTGTCCGAAGAACAGGCGCAGCGCGAGCTGGAACGTGATGTCCACGACGCCCTTGGCCGACACCCTGGACCGCACGAGGAAGTCGGTCCCGAACTCGGTGAGCTCCTCTCGGACGTAGGTTGCGACTGAGGTGTTGTCGACGTATTGTTTTCTCACGAGCCCGATCCGGTTCTCAACCTCGGGCGTCGTCTCGAGAACAAACTCGTGCAGCGCAATGTGGGACGAGGAGTTTCCGTTCAGTCTGGCTGGGCTCTCGGGCAATGGCTTGTCCATGGCAGCCGAGAGCCATTCCAGAAGACGGGCGGGGGTCGTGCCATCGATGATGCCGTGCTCGGTGATCTGGCCGGAGCGGCCGTTGGATGTCACGTAGAACTGCAACACCTTGTCGAACCAGCGGTTGGATCCGTCGCCGATGTAGCCTTGTCGAGCAATCTCCTCGCCAGTCTCTGGGGAGCCATCATCCAGGCATAGAACGCACATTGCAGAGTCGATGGTGTGGAAGTACTCTGCGTTGGCAGCGCTCGCCGTCGCCAGCTTTTCTCGCATCTGAAAGGACTGTTAGTATTCAGTGCAAGAAGTGCATGAAGGACACTTACAACAGCCCACGAGTCTCTATCATCTGTGGTCAGGATGCTAGTCCAGAGGTGGTCCTGACCAACCTTTGAGACGATTTCTTCAAAGGTCGCCACCAGATCAGAGAACGACAAGTCTTGTCCGTCCCGGTCCTGGAGCATGACCTTGAACAAGTGGCCTCTTCTTAGGACGGCGATGTGATCGAGGGCGTCTTTCTCGTCCGAGTCGAAGCTCTTCATCGCGTCGCACCTGAGCTGTGGTATACGAATCGAGTTGAACAGCCAGCCCCATCTCCACGTGCACTCTGGTCTGCCCGCGACCTCGAGGGGCTTGACTTTTCCGGCCTTGACGGCCCGCTTGAATGACAAAGAAGACGCGATGATGGTGGCGGCACGCTCGGTCTGCGACTGAGGAGTCTTCGCGTCGCGGTGTCCGCCCATAGTGCTGGCATACGGGGCGATTGGGGACCTCCTGCACAACCAGCGAGCGTCCGTGACGATCTCGTTCAACCAGCCATTGCTCTTGTCATGGCCATGCTTCTTGACCAAGCCGTCAAGAATCTGTCGAGCAGGGCCGTCGGGGGCTCGGAGGGCTTCGATGTCTTGATGGATCTCGAGAAGTTGGTCAGGGTCGTAAAGATGCTCGTTCGCTTCGAGCCAGAAATCGAGAGCGTCGTCCAACTCGGGAATTGGCTGGACAGGCAGCTCTGCGCTCAACTTGCAACAGTCGTATCCATGCTGACTGGCATGTTCACCTGAGGCTTCGAGGCTCGTGTCATCTTGACCGCCGTGATGATTGGCGTCACCATTGCCGGCGGCCATCTTGCCATTGACCCTGCACTTTAACTCCATTCTCGATACGATGAGGTTGGCGAGCGCCATGATGCTTCGCGCGCCACTCAACTCGGACGTCTGCAACGGCGCCTGGAAGGTGTGTCGAACCCAGTTCTTGAGTTCGATGGAAACCAAAGAATCCAAACCGAGCGTCGCGACGGGTTGGTCGTCCGGGACCTCGCCGCCCAAGAACGCGGCAAACTTGTCGAGCAGCGCCTGCTTGACGATCTCCTCGGCCTCCGCAACGGTCTCGACCTCTTGGACCGCCTGGGTCGCGCTGGGCTTCGCGTTGTCAACTTTGGTATTGTTGGCCGTGCCGCCGCGCCTTCTCTTGCTGGGAACGTGATCAAAGAGGTGGTCGTTGAGGACCTCCGGTCCCATGCCGTCTTCCATCGAGTCGCGGTCGAAGGGCATGATGCACTGCGAAGCGCCATCGATCCGAGACTGGTCACCCATGGCGTACTCGATCGTAGCGAAGAACTCGTCGAGCGTGACCGAGCCGCCGTACCGGATAAAGTCGCTGCTCGCGCGAGCGATCTGATCTGAGCCTTCGACGGCGCCGACGTTGATGGTCATGTAGTGGGTGGTTCCCGAAGCTCCCACACTCGAGGCGTGGGCTTGTGCGAAGGCGTCTTGGAAAGAACAGCCTGCCGCGTAGTTGCTCTGGGTGGTCAGGCCGATCTTGCTCGTGACGGAGGAGAGCATGATGAAGAAGTCGGTCGTCTCAGGGGAGCAGAACGCCTTGTCCATGTTGAGAGTGCCTTGGACCTTGGGATCCACGGCTGTCCTCCAGTCTTCATGCTTCATGTATTCGAGGGGGTGATCGCAAAGAACTAGTGCCCCCTGGATGACGCCCTTGACCGGTGGTAGCTTGCGAATCTCTTCCCTGGCTGCAAGCGTGCTTCTCTCGTCTGTGATGTCGCACTTGAAGATGTGAAGTCTACCACCCAGCCTGACGATGGTCTCTTCGAATGGCGCCCGTTGCTGAGCGTCGACGTCTCGTCGTGTCAGTGCAACAATGTGTCCTGCCCCCTTCTCGGCCAGCAACTTGCTCATCTTCTTTCCAAGATCGCCGAAACCACCGCCGATGACATACGTCCCCTCTCGATGCAACCGAAGCGGCTTTGGCTTCGGCTTGGTTGCTTGGACAATGGTGTTCTCATCGGCCACCAACACCAGTTTTCCGATGTGCTTCCTCGTCGCGATGAGACGGAAACATTCCTCGATGCGACTCATGTCGTACGTGGTGACCGGGTACACGGGCTTCAACAGACCGTTTTCGATCATGTCGAAGATCTCCTTGAGCCCTCGCGTCATGTACTCCGGACGGAGCCGGTACATGTGTGAGGTGTCCACGGCCGCAAAGGTTGCCTGCTTCTCGAAGTTGGCCATGTTCAGTTGGCTGCGGGCGTATATATCCGCCTTGCCGATCTCGAGAAACGTGCCGAACGGGGCAACGCAGTCCCAGCTGTCCATCAGGAGCTGGCCGGAGAGCGAGTTCAGGACGACGTCAACGCCTGCGCCCTGCGTCGCTTTCATGATGTGTTTCTTGAAATGGCTAGAATGCGAAGAAAATATCTGGTGTTCCGGCACACCGTATCGATCCTGGATCAGCTTCTTCTTGGCGATGCTGCCCACGGTGGCGAAGATGTTGGCCCCGACCAGCTGCGCGAGCTGGATGGCAGCTTGGCCGACACCTCCCGAGGCCGCGTGGATGAGCACACTCTGGCCTTTCTCGAGCCGGGCACAGTGCGTGAGAGAGTACCAGGCCGTGTAGTAGATGATGGGAACGGACGAAGCGTCGACGAAGCTGACGGAGTCGGGTATCGCGACAACTCCGTTGCTGTTGACGCGGACCCGGTTGCCAAAGGCCGCCACCATCAGACCGACGACTCTATCGCCAGGCTTCCACAACGACTGGACATCTGAACCGACTGCGGTAACGACACCGGCAACCTCGCCGGTCATTGCAGTGCCGGGGGCCATCTGGCCCAACGCGATGAAAACGTCTTTGAAGTTGAGGCCGTATGCGCGAGCTTGGACCTCGATCTGATCGGGACCCAGGGGTTCGCTCATCTTGTCGTTGTCCACAAAGCGGATGGTGTTGAGCAAACCGGGCACCCGAACGTCAAACATCAGAGGCCGGCCGTCGTCGAAGTACTTCCAATCCACGAGTGTTCTGGAGCCTTCCTCATCGTGACTTTCATCGTTGGAGCTCTCGACGAAGTCTGCGAAGCGGATGTCGGGTACAATCCTGGGAATAACGAGTTTGTCATCGCGGATGGCGTATTCTGTTTCTACCGCTCCTCCCGAATTTGACCAGAACGACGAAATGGCGAGGTCTGTTAGGGCTTTAACTACGTGATGTACGTCTTCGCTGGAGGGTTGAATCTGTTG